CCAGGCCTCCTGCAGATGCAACTGATCCTGCACTATGACGAGACCTACCGCGAGGTGAAGTATGGCAACATGGGGCTGCCCGACATCGACAGCAAGATGCTGATGGGCATCAACGTGACGCCCCTCGCCGCCCTGCTCTACACGCCCGTGCTCATCCGGTGAGAGCGCTGACCCCCGGGAGAGGTCTCCGGCTGCCCCTGGGCTGGGGGCGTCCGGGGAGCGGGCGGGAGGCATGGCCTCCCGGGGGCGGGGATGCCGTGGCGGGTGATGGGGTGAGACCCGGACTGGGGAAGGAAGCGAGAGCTTTGCTCCCGGGCTCCTGCGGGCTTTTAGTGAATTTATTTTTTCGAGTCAGAGTCTCGCTTGGTTGCCCAGGCTGGAGTACAGTGGCACACTCACCGCTGCCACCGCAGCCTCCACCTCCTGGGCTCAGGGGATCCTTCTGCCTCAGCCTTCCCAGTAGCAGGGACCACAGGCATGCACCACCATGTCTAGCTGCTTTTTTTTCACTGTAGAGATGGGGTCTTGGCGTGTTTCTCAGGCTGGTCTCGAGCTCCTGGGCTGCGGCAGTCCTCTCGCCTCCGGCTCTCAGAGTGCTGGAATGATAGGCGTGAGCCAGTGTGCCCAGGCTAATTTAATTTATTTTATTCTGAGTTGGAGTCTCACTCTGTTTCCCAGGCTGGAGTGCAGTGGCACACTCATGGCCACCGCAGCCTTGCTATCCCTCAGGGGATCCTTTCGCCTCAGCCTCCCGAGTAGCTGGAAGCACAGGCATGTGCCACCACGCCCAGCTAATTTTTTGATTTATTGTAGAGACGAGGTCTTGGCAGGTTTCTTAGGCTGGTCTCAAGCCCCTGAGTTCAAGCAGTTCTCTCGTCTCTGCCTCCCAAAGTGCTGGGATGACAGACGTGAGCCACCACGCCCGACCTACTTAATTATTTTGAGTTGGAGTCTCACTCGCGACATCTGCAGGTTTTTTGGCACCAAGTGGATGATGTTCCTGGCCGTGGGCATCTACGCGCTCTTTGTTTCCACCAACTACTGGGAGCGCTACTACACGCTGGTGCCCTCAGCCGTGGCCCTGGGCATGGCCATCGTGCCCCTTTGGGCCTCCATGGGCAACTACATCACCAGGTGAGCCCAGTGGGCACAGTGGAGCACGAGGCTGGAGAGCTGGTCTGGCCTCTGCTGCATTGCCAACCTTGGCTGGGGCACCCTCCCCCCCCCCGGGCCTCACTTTCCCCGTC